GATCATAAACCTCAGAGGGTGCCAAGGCCAAGGGCAACCAAGAGAAACTGATGTAGGGAAACTAGAGATGATCTTGAAAACATGACCGAAGAAACTTTATATCCAGCCAAGACTTAGAACCTTTGAAGACGCCAGCTGGCCCAGGTCGGAGGCAGACAGCACATATTTCTGTAAAGGGTGTGCCAGCCATGCGGCTCTTTACGTAATCTAGATATTGCCGTTGATAACTACTTTTAATGCTGGCAGCAGAAGATAGCTAATTATAAAAGACTGGGATGAGACGACCACTGAGAGAGATTTCCACTCATAAATTCCAGATGCATCGACTTCTAAAAGTTAAGCTGAACATCGTCTATTCAGTTCTAGAAACTTTGCCTCAATAGAAACCATTGAAACGATAATGGAACATTAAGGAATTAACACAGAGAAAAAATAAGATTCTTAATATACCTCTATTACAAAACAGGCATTTTCAGGCGATTACCTCCCAACCATTTTCCCGACTTGCATGTTTCTCATAGCAACAGCCATGGCTATAGAGTCTACTTAGCATTGTGCATTGCTGGCAATGGGTTCTGAAGTCTTCCGGATGACTATACAGATGCCCATTTAGCGTGTGTTCTATGTTCTCTAGAGAATCAGTCACCTATTTATAGCCACGTGCTTATGAGAAAACAATTTACAAATGAGCTTCAGGTTCCTGGAACGGTCAAGCTCCTTCCAGAGCCTCTGGCACCTGCCCCATACTTTTTCCATTTTCAGGTATTCAGAACCGAGGCTCTGCCTGCTATGGTGTCCTTGAGCCCCCATCCTCCAGTCTTGAGGCCTTAGACCAGTGGTCCTTATTAATGCTGTGACCCTTTAATACAGTTCCCCATGTTGTGGCGACCCCCCACCATAAGATGATTTCATTGCTACTTCATAACTGTATTTTGTAACTCCTATGAACTGTAATGCAAATATGTGATAGGCAGGCTATCTGAGATGCAGCCCCCAAAGCGGTCATGACCCACATGTTGAGAACCAGTGCCTCAGAGCTTTCCTTCCTGCGTGAATACCTCTACCTCCCCTGCCTGTCTCGGCAGCAATGGAACCTCTAAGGCATCAGAAGAGGAGGATGAGGATTCAAGGACACTGGAGGTACTGGGAGGATGAGGATTCAAGGACACTGGAGGTACTGGCTGAACCTGGATCTCCTTTCTCTGATCCATGGATCTGGGTGGGGGGCATGCATTGAAGAAGGGCCCTTTGGTAGAAAGAGAGATGAAGGAAAAGGAGGAATTTAGGGAACCCGGCCGAAGTCGCTCTGAATGATTCATCTAGTTTGTAGCCATCTTGGCAGAAACAATATAACCAGACCTTCTAAAGTGAGATATGCTATGTCTCTTCCTTGGGGTGTTAAGATTATGGAGACAAGGGATTCCTAGGAATTAGAACTTTCTAAGAGGTCTCATTCTGAGAAAGGAAAAATTTGAGGTCCTGGAGCCAGCCAGACGGGTGCTCATCTCCCGGCAAGAAATTTTACCCAGTGTTGACCATTCGCAGGGCAGATTAAGGACCAGGGGACAGTGATGTGTCTGTGATGGGCCAAGGATAGACAGGACCACACCTCACCCAGGGCTGCTGAGTCACACTTTTGCTCTCTTTGTAAACGCCAGTATGGGGAGCATGGATCAGAGAGTCCCACTGTATCTATTCATTTGCTCCTCCTCCCCGTGTAGCCACACTGGATAAACACCTCTTCTCTGATGTTCACCATTACTTGCATCTTTTATTGGCCTTCTGGTAGGTAGGCTATCTTGTCAGGCTGGCAGCGATCAAGTTTGATGCTAACAACTGTGGTAACAATTTGACTCCTTCCTTCATTCTATTTAACTGTGGGTTAAATACCTGAGCTATATCAGCCCCAAATCCTTGAAGCAAAGGAGGGCTAAATCTAAGCTGATTAGTAGAATGGTTGTCTAGCTTACAGCAGCTAACCATGATGAGATATGTAGGAACAAAGTTGGCATTAGTGGGGATGTAGAGAAACAGACGTTAGAAGGTGAGGAAAAATTGACAGACTAAAAGAGTAGTAGTTTCAGATCAATATTTTCTGACAGGCTCCCAAAATATCCTCTCTTTCATAGTGGAGAATTTTTAACTGAAGCACTGGTGCTCAGCCAGATAATTCCCCAGCCCTGTTCTGTTAGAGCTAAGTGTGCATATTACCAAGTTCCAGCCAAGTGGGTTTGACTAAAAATGATAATTAAGTCTTCTGAACAGTGCCCTTAAAAGCAGTGTTTCCTCTTACCCTTGGAGTCTGTGGAGTTAAAGATATGGCCGGAGTCACCATTTTGGACCATCAAACATAAAAAGCCCGGCGAAGACTACTGAGCAAGAAGATCAAGCTTCCTGCCAACTGGCAAACTCCCTCCCAGACTCGTTTATCTGATTTGTAATTCTATCTGGTTTAAGTCCCCGCATTTGCAGCTCATTTTGTCATACTGGCCTGACCTAGTCTACCTAGTACAAATTCTTTTTGCTGTTCTAAGCACATAGGCCTAAAATTTTCAGCTGTTTCAGCATTTAACCACAGCAGGCCCATGAAGACAGGGCAGTCAGTATTCGATAGGGAAAGACTGGCTTTCAAACTGTTTTTTTCTCATTTCGCCTTGAAATATTCAAACAGTATTTTTGAGTTTCTATTCCCTGGACCAGGAAGCCAGAGACTTAGGTCTAGGGCAAACTGCACATGAACTCATGTCTAGTTAGTGATCCACTGTTTCTCTTTCAATCCCGAAGCCTGATTCTCTCTTATATTTGACACTGAGGTCTCAGGAAAACATATTATTCACGTCACCAATAAGCCTCTGCTTCTACATCGACCCAGTCAGCATCTCCTGGATGTGGATGAAGCAAGTCTGTGAGGAGATACTTCCCTCATTCAAGGAGACAGAAATGGAACACACAGAACGATGGATGCAGAGCAAGAGCTGGATTGTGAGATCCCCAAGAAGCTTCTCTAGAGTAGTGCATTCTAGACACAGGTGCACAAAACACTATCAGTCTTGGCTCTCAAAGAGTTTGCATGCTAGAAAAACAGTCCACCCACAGACCTGCCCACAACCACAGCACGAAGGACCTTTCAAAGATTCCTATTTCATTGTTTTGTTTTGCTGATTTTTTTCCACTCTGGGAACCTTGTTGCTTTGTCTAACCTCATCACAATCGTCCCATCTGGCGGAGAGAAATCCTGAAGCCTTCCCTGGAGACACCAAATGCTGGGGTCACCAGAGGGAACAGAAGGGCTTATGAGCAGCTCCCCTGAAGTCTGCTTCTTCACTGCAGAAGAGGGATACACCTGGGCCTGAGCAACATTCCGGATATCCTCCACATCTCTAACCAGTGTCAAGCATCTTCAAGTATGCGTGTGACTTTATGAAAATGGCAGGCCGGTGCATTTATGAATAACATTCGATCTTTGGTACTTGGGAAGACAAGTCACTCGGACAACTTACATAGGGGACTCGAATGTTTTTAGGGGTCCAAAACCCAGGACTAAAAACATTATTTTCTTAACTACTTATGAAGCAATAACTTCTTGTTGGTAATATACACATACATCTAAGGCGATTGTTATAATAACTGAAGCCTATGGTAGTAATATATTACTTTGCGCACCAGAATTCTGTCTCTTATATCTTATGACATATACAAGTTTATGGTGGGGGAAATGTATTTCTTCTATTCTAAGGTAATTGGTGTATTATGGTGTAGAAATGAGCCTTATGCTCCAACTGGCTTAAGTTACTGGTGGTACCTTCTGTGCTTAGGAAAGGAGCCGTGTTCAGAGAAACCAAGGTCTCTTTGGAGAGCAGGGGGTCAGTAGGACAGGCAAAGACTGGGCAAAAAGTTTTTTTCCCCCTTAGTTTCTACTAACGCTGCAGGAAAAACCCATAGCATGGCATGATTGGCCCCACCCCTTAAAAGCACATTTTCCATACAGGTTGCCTCATTTGAATTTCACCATCCTGGATCACAGAAACTTAATTTTTTTTTGAGCACTTCATACATAAGGATCATTACATTTTTATTTGCGGTAATTGTTTAGCCAGTACTCCGGAGTTATAGTTTAAAATAGTACTTCAAATCCTGTGGTTTTCAGAATTTTCACACTAAGCCAGTGGGGCTGGAATGCCGATCTAGCATCCATTTTAGGCTGAAGAAAGTTGAGCCTCCTAGTTAAAAGTGAAGAGGTGGGGGTGGGGGACTGGCGCTAATCTTGGTTTCTGGGCTGCTGTCCATCACAATCCTCTGAACCAGAGATACGAACTCCTTCCCAGAGGAAGAGCGTGTGCGTATTTCTAGGTTAATACTCAAGTGTTTGCAGTGGGCTGAACATGCCAAAGCGTTAGAGATCTGAATATGGTCGCCTTAGGCAAGCCCCTTTGGTTGTATATCCTGCTCTAGGACCGGTTTGAACGCAGTTCTCGGATGTTCCTTCCAGTCCTAAAATGTTCTATAATTCTAGACCTTTCTTCCAGATTTGCATTCCCAAATAATCATCATAATAACCGTGACTGATACTTCTTATCTCACTGATGCCGGAGTGTGTGCTAAGAACTCTGCCTCTATTTTCCTTGTAAACCGTGCAGTCCTCCCAAGAAATCTTTCTCTAATAGATACAGGAACTTTAATTCCCGGGGTCAAAGGAACTGTCCTCAAGATCTGCTGGCAATCTGACTCTAGGTCAGAGAGACCTTCGTGGACCTTCACTGGGTCTGTATTGGTTTCGCTGAAGATATTAATGTCCGCATAACCTATCACCTCTCTCCGTGTCAAAAGGGAGAGAGGAAGGGGACGGAAAAAGCCAAAACAAACAAAGCAATCTCTGCTAGGCAAAACCAGAAGGGCCATGGATGGACGCCAGAGGCTTCTTCCCAGGCCCAGGGGGGCGGGGCGTCCTTCTCTCCAGTCACAGGATCCGATGTCCTACCCTTCCAGACCCGGACCATTACCTTGTTGAGATGAGGGTTCCTGGTGACATCGTATCCGCGCTTCTTCAGGGGCACGGGGCGAGGTGGGCCGGACTTGGAGTGGCAGCCCTGGGCGGGCGCGGAGGGTGCCTGGCGCCGGAGGGTGCCGAAGGCCATGCGTGGCAGGGAGGTCAGCCGCGGGCCAGTGACTAGCGCGGCGCCCATGGTCCTGGCGCAGATCTGGAACCAGGGAGAGACCAAGGTCAGGGGTGCCCTCTAGCCAAGCCAGGTCCTGCGCGCCAGCGGAGCGCGGGGGCCTGAGTCAGGACTCCTATTCTTGAAGAGGTAGGGGGCTCCCGAAGGGTTCAAAGGGCCAGCCTCCGCCCCTCCTCCGAGGCCACCTGCTCCAGGTTCGGTTGCGATGCTCCAAGCCTCACCGGGCACCCAGCGAAGCGAAAGCAAGCTCAGAAAGCAGATCCTGTGCGGATGACAGCGGGTGCCATCCCCGCCCCCATGCAGAAGAATGGTCGACTGCGCGCTCCGAGGGGTCCCCGCATTCTCCTTGGTTCCTCCTTCCTCGGCTCACCTGTCTAATTAAAACTTATGTAGTCCCACTGCGGGCAGGTGGGGCAAGGTGCTTTTGTTCCCTGTCACTCTCCCGTCAAAGGCTGCACCGCACAGGCAGCGTGAGCTGGCGGTACTGGTGCGTTCAGGAAAGGCAGTCCCCAAACCTTCCCTGGTGGCACCAGACTTCCCTTAACGATGCGCGTGCGGCTCTTCCTAACAAGACAAGATGAAAATGGCTTTCTTCCCACCTTAGAGCGTTTGCACATTTTCTCCCTGGTATTTTCCATCCAGAGAGGACTGAATAGCAATGTTGGGTGAGCGCATAAGGATCAGTATTCCCTCTTCTGCTTCCACCTTTTGAGCAAGATCCTGAACAAGGATGCTGTCCAATCTAATAACCATAAGCTTCATGTGGCTGTAAGTTTTCAATACATTCCTCTAAATAAAATACAGTTTACAACCCATTCCTCAGTCATGGTCAGCACCTTGTTGGCAGTTGAGAGCCCGGATGTTTGTGCACATATGCAAAACGCTTTGAGGAAAGTCCCTAAGTGGGCTCCTAGGAAGCTCTTGCTGCCCCGCAGCCACAGATGTTAAAGTCACACCTGCACCTTGATGTCCCCCTGTCCCTGAGTTTAAATGTGTACTTCCTCCACACAGTAGTCAAGAGAGTCTTTCCACGGGCAGTGTTTCACTGCGTGTGAGCTGACATCCACGTCTTCAGGAGGTCTTTTGATCAACCACAGGTTGGCTCCTGCCAACTTCTCACGTTCATTCTGCTCCCCTCTGCGTTGCCCTTTAGATCCCCTGTCCCTTGCTTTGTTTCTCTGTTTTCCTCAGATCCCAGCCTCCACCTGAGGACCTTTGGATCTGCTATTGCTTTATGGGGAATGACATCCTCCGGCCTTCCAAAGAGCTTGCAATCTCATCTCTCAGGTTGCCCCTAATTTGTCAACTTGGAGGCCATTATTCTAGTTATTCTATTCAGTGCTGGCCATCACTAGGAGACACACAAGGTTTTCCCCTATATATAGATTAACAAGAGAGCTATTAGCTCATTGCTCTGGTAGTTTAGTGTCTGCTTCCCACCCTTAAAATACAGGCTTCACTGGGCTATGGTCTTTGCCTGTAAATCAGTTTGTCCTTGGGGCCTGGCAGGTCTCTGTACAATTAAAAAAAAATAGTTGTTTGGTGAACAAAGGTGAGTGAGCACTCTGTTGATCGGGGCTGCGGACTCTCAGAACGACTGCCAGGTGGATGGTGTGCTTCTCTCTGCTCCCTCTTCAAACCTCCCCCCACTCTCAAGCCCCAAGTGCCAAGTAGGCATGATGGTGCTGTCCGGGTCCTCCAGCCTGGGCTCGGGAGCTCGTCTCCTCAGGAATGATGGTCTTCCCTTGAAGCTGTTCTCTTCTCTGTTTTAATTTCCAGCTCTCGATCAGAATGATCTGTATTAAACTGCGCTGCTTAGACAGCATCAGAACTCCCTGTTGAACGGACAGAGGCAGGGTCAACAGAACAGAGTTTTCAGGTCCCATCCACAGTCTCATTCAGAAGAGGTTAAATGCCTGGTTAGGATTATTCTTAGGCTGGATACTTACACAAGCCTGTCAATGGCATTTTAGTTAATAAAGGAAATTTGAGTTAGAGTCTGTATATAGTCTGTAACCAAGAGCATTCGCTTCTTTCAATACTGTTTTTATATCTGCACGTATCACCACCAGTTGTCAAGCATCTTGAGGACAGAGATTGCATATGCATGCTTCTTTCTTCAGTGGTTAGGAAAGAGCAAGTCAGCAGAAGCTGGTTGTTCAATGAGTGTGCCCTTGTTCAACATGATGATTGTTTCCTTGCTTGGGTGTAGACCCAGTCCTTCAAAACCCAGCCAGAGACACAGATGCAAAAAACAGAAGGTTTCAAACAAGTAAATATAATTTTGTTTTGTTTTTTTTGAGACAGGGTTGCTCTGCAGCTTTGGAGCCTGTCCCCAAGCTAGCTCTTATAGACCTGGCTGGACTAAAACTCACAGAGATCTGCCAGCCTCTGCCTCCCAAGTGCTAGGATTAAAGACATGCATCACCACCGCCCAGCTTAAGTAAATACAATTTTTACACTGTCCAAAGCTTATAAAGTTTGCTTGGAAGTCTTTCATGTGCCATAACCTATGGCTGAAACCCTCTCTACCCAGTCACAACTCTATCAGTGCTACCATGCTGGTTACAGTGATGTGCTAAGCACACGTCATGGGGTGCATGGCAAGTCCTCCTAAGGTGATCTGGTCTGCTCCCCAGGAGCACTAACATCACTTCAGCATCCCGTTTCTTCCCTGTGGAAATGCAGAAAGGAACGGGAAAGGAAGTGGTTCTCTCTGCCAAGGGAAATGGGATGAATATTGTAGTCAGTTGGCATCTGCTCACAGTATTTTTTTTTTTGGGGGGGGGAGGTGATGTTCATCACATAGTCACATTGCTCTCTGCATATCACATTGGTATCTGCCATAAAATCATGGGTGCTTTCCTGAGGCTCCCCAGGGTTGTCTGTTACTGAAAGGAAGAAATTAGGAACTGTTCTTAGGGACTGACCGTACTAGATGTCTAACTATAATACTCCTTTTGTGGTGAGGGAGCTCGGTATACAGGGTAGGCTCGGAAGCTGCCGTCTGTAACTGCTCCGTGGGTTCTATCTATGCTTTATAGTAACCCCTTTCCTTTTCAAAATGAACATAAGATTTCTGAGACAAAGTTGAGAAGCAAGGGAACATTCTATAACTTTTCTAATTCCATAAACAAAACAAAACATCAGCAAGAAAGCTTAACGAGCCAGTACGGCGGTCTGTTCCAGCATTAGAGAAAACTAGCGACGCTCCCTGATCTGCCTCACCCTTCACATCCCACTGACTGACTCCTGCTGCCTTTGTAATGTTGCTTCCTGGGGTGACAGGGTAAGAATCTCATTCTACCCCCCCTGACCAAAGGCTCCATTTCCAAATTCACTTAAGACCGTTGCTTTTCTAGTTAGTACAAGCATAGGGATTTGAGGATTTATGTGCTACCTTACTGAATTGTGACTTCCTTAAAGACTGAAACCACCACCCTACAATGGGGGACAATACTCCAGCTAGAAATCATACCTTACAAAATAAAACCCTAGTGCCAGGAATGAGTTACCTATTTTCGAGTTGGTAACTAATGGGGCCCCAAAGACCCCCGAAACATTTCAGGTTATTGCCAGAACTTGACAGTAAGACCTCATTGCTGAAGATACCATATGCTTCTGTCACAGAGCATCAAGAAAACTAAGGGGCACTCTACTTTGTTTATATCAGTTGGCATTCACGGTTTTGGAAGGTTAACTCTGCGAGATACAGTGATGATCTTCCTGGTAAGGTGTGTCCCCTGGTGCAATAGTGGTGTGAATGCTATGGGAGGGATCCATTACTTTTTTATTGTTATCAAAGCCTGCTCCATCAGATGGATCCTATACCTGATACTATCAATAAGGCCAGAAAACAGAGACTAGATAGATGTGGGTCTCAGAAGGAAACCTGCTTGTGTTATTGTGCTAAAGGAACGTAATAAAATGACTCTTGATGACATATTGTTTATATACCCTCGGATCAGTGAGTCCATCACTCAACCTTCATCAGAGATGCTACTTCTTGCCATAGATGGCAACGCAGAGACGCACAACTGATCAATATACAGAGAATCAGAGACTTTGGTATTCTCAGTCGTAAATGGGATGTCTATCACACCCCTCTTATCAAGGCTCAGGGAGCTATGTGGAAGATGAGGTGGAAAGACTGGAAGAGCCAGAGGTGGTGATACCTTCAAGGAAGCAGTGTTTTCCAAACTCAACAGGGCAGATGTACAGACAAAGTCACAAAGGCTGTAGCAGCATGCATAAGACCTTCATAAGCAAACACCAGACAAAATTCCTAGGAGAGAGGAAGATAGGTGGGCATAAAGACCCACCCCTGGGCAAAGAGCTTTTGGCATTTGATTGCATCTATGTGAGGGAGACTCAGTTTTCTTTAGTGGAGTGATATTTGATATTTGAGTCACACTCCAGGGCAGGTCCCATGCCCAGGAGTAGTTGACCAGTTGGCCAACTCAGACTGGATTCCATGAGGTTTGTTTTGTTGGTTTTGAGATAGGAAAAAACCCATAAAGTTGGGTGAGTAGAAAAGAGGGAGAATGTGTGAGGGGGTGGGGGAAGGGATGAATATGATCAAATACATTGTATGAAACTCTCAAAGGATGCACAAAAATATTACTTAAAAATGATTGCAGAAGCCATTCACAAGTCTTTGCACCTCCAGCATCTGGGTTGGCACCTGGCTGGCACCAAGAATACACCTGGTTTGTTGAATTTGCTTGGGCATCTGTCACACAAGGCCTTTCTCCACCTTCACTTCTTCTTAAATACCATCATCACCAGCAAGTCTCTCACGGTCAGTAAGCTCATCTTCCTCCTTCATGATCCCCAAATGCCTCCATGTGTGTCTACTACACGGTTAAAGCCCGTCTCTCTTGCATGCGGTTTATTTATATGCCCGGCTTCTCTGGGTCTCATGAAGGCAAACAGCTTTAGAGTCCAACGGTCTGGATTCTACTAGTGCATAGCTCGTGGGACCTGGAGCATTTTAAGAGACCGTTTACAGTCTCACCCTCTTCATGTCAGAACTGAGATCCCACTGCTAGTCCTAGCATTTTTGTGGTTTTATTTGCTTATTCAAAGCACTTTACAATGCCGTGACATGATGCCAAGCACAGTTCTCAACGCTCGAGTCCTCCACTTGAGATTAGAAACTGTGAGGTAGTTAGTTACATGGAAACGGTGCTGCTGATTTTGACCATTTCCCAGGCTGTCCACATGTAGGGTTCACTCTCCATACGCTGGCTAGCAGCAGTGAACTGAGCTTCCCAATTGCTCAACCATGAGAATAAATGACTGGTGTTTGGCAGTAAACGCTGATATTTGGGAGGTCGGGCACTGTCTTAGTTAGGGTTTCTATTGCTGTGAAGATACACCATGACCATGGGAACTCGTATGAGGGAGAACATTTAATTGGGCTCACTTACAGTTCAGAGGTTTAGTCCATGATCATCATGGCAGGACAAGGTGGCGTGCAGGCAGACATGGTGCTGGAGAAGGAGCTCTACAAGTTGATCCACAGGCAGCAGGAAGTGAACTGTGCCTCTCAGTATAGCTTAAGGAGAGGAGACCTCGA